AGCCGTTGCTTTTCAGCGTTGGCCTCGTCCCAGCGGCCGTTCTCCATCAGGCGTTGGTCGGGGCGCCGGCGGCTGTCCGTGGGTGCCGTGCCGCTCTCCGGGGCGTTGAGCGTCAACGCCAACTCCGAAAAGTAGTACATGTTCTCCGCGTACTTCCTACACCGGGGAGGGGGGAAAAAAGGGGGACCGACCTCAGTCCCTCCGCTGGTGGGCTTCACACCCCACCTCGTCTCCTCCTGCCCTTGGTCGGGGGTCTGGAACCAGCCCCCAGCTCTGGGGACACCTCGTCCCGTGTCCCCTACTCACGGGAGAGGGTTCCTCTTCCACAGCAGCACCCGGCTGTCCTCGGCCTCGTGGGCTTTCTGCCGTCCCTCCGCTCCGTTGTCCCCAGCACCCTGCGTCACCTTGTAACAGTCCATCTTCTCATCCCAGGTTCCCAGCAGGACAAAATGCACCTTCCCCGTGGGGTCTGTCACCTCTCCAGTGACCTGGCGGGACAGGGGACAGCCTAAATCAGGACACCCAGGAACCGCAAGCACCCCGGCGCGTCCCACGCTGCCCAGCCGGCTTCCCCCCGTGCCTCTACCTTCCTCGCCACGTCCCGTGAGAAGTAGCTGTAAGGAACGAACTTGAGGTTGCACTTGTCGCCTGTCTTGTGGTTGACGATCTCGATTTCACCCGACTGCGGAGGGGAGGAGGAGGAGGAGGAGGAGAAGACGGTCAGATCCAACCCACGGCCCTTTCCCCGGTGGCGGGGGAAACCGAGGCACAAACACATCCCGGAGAACCCCATCACCGGGGTTTCATCCCACCTGGTCTATCCAGAGCTTGCCCACGATGATGTTGTGCACGGTGGTGGTGACTTTTTTCCACGTGTAGTGGTTGCCGGAAGAATGGAAGACGCAGTGGATGGTACCTGAAGATGGAAAGCCGTGCTGGAAATGGTCGTTCCAGAGCCTGCCCGGCTCACGGAGACCCGGGTGGGCTCCAAACCTGTCCCGCTCCCACGCGAAGCACAGACATTCTCCCTCCCCGAGTCTCTCCCCCCGTGCGCGGGGCGACGGCGGCGCTCACCCAGAGGCATGATGGAGAGGTATTTGCCCCGAAACTTGCTGGTGATTTTGATTTCCTGGTGAAGCGTCCAGCCGTGCTTGGAGTCGGCGTGGTGGGCAGCGGCTGGGGGGTGGTGGCTTGCCTGGCCGGGAGAGGGGACAGGTCAGCGCCGGCCACCCCGAGCTGGCCGCTGGACCCGGAGAAGCGGGGCTTGGCGGTACCTGCTCGCAGGGTAGCCGTTCTCCTCCAGGCGATCCAGCTCAAAGGTCTCCCCCAGGAGGGGGTTGAAGGGTTTGCTGGTGCGGAAGACGGTGGTGGAGTAGGAGGAAACGGTGAAGGCGGCCACGTAGCACAACTGCTCCAGCGAACTCTCGCATTTGGCCGCCCGGTCGAGCAGTTCGTGGTACTCCAGGTCCTCGGTCAGACGCTGCAGCATGGACAGGGGCTCGTTGAAGTTCACCTGGAGGAGAGCGAAAGGTAAGAGGGGGGGTCCCGGGGTGGCCGGCGCCCACCCACCGGCTGCCTCCCCGCTCACCGGCATGGGGATCTTGGACAACTCCTTCCCGATGCAGTTCTTCATGATGCTCCAGAGGTTGAGGCTGTAGTTGGGTTTGTAGGGGATGCGGGTTCTCTTCTCCTTCTTGGTGTCCTCTACCTGGTGCTTGTACTGGGAGGGGCGAGACAAAGGCTGCTGTGACACTGCTGTGACTCCCTAAAACCCTTCCGTGGGGAACGGGACATTCCCAGCAGCCGCCCCTCTGCCACCCCTGGTCCTCCAAGAGCCAGCTCAGCGCACGCCGCCGGCGGAAAGCGGCCCCTACCTGCCCGTCCGGGCTGATGTCGCTGCTGGTGCCGCTGATGTTGCTGCCCGTGCGCCTGTGGGGGGAGAAGAGGGGCAGAGTGAGCCCCGAGAGGGGATGCGGGGGGTGGGAGAACAACCCCGCGCCCCACCGCTCACTTGTGGCCCATGGTCTCCGGCATGGGGATGATTTCCGGGGCGTCGAAGAACTCATTGTCATCGTCCTCGTCGCTCAAATCTCCTTTCGCAGGGCAGCACGGATCTGGGAAGGGGAGAGGAAAGTTGAGGCAGCGAGTTTAAGATTCCTCCCAGTTTTCCCCAGCGGGGCACTGGAGGATTTCCCGTCACCACCAGCCAGGAGAGGGGCCACACACACCACCCCGCAACTGCCGCACCGAGCGGCGGCAGACAAGGCTTAGGAGGAGCGGGGACAGGTTTTGTGGGCGGTGGGGCAGTAAGCTGCCTGCTGTAGGTGCCGCAGCCGCTCGGCTCTGGGGGAGAGACCGGACAGACCTATCGCTCGGGGTCAAAAATGTGAAGGACACCATGTCTGGCTCAGGAAAAGGACCGGAGGCAGCTGGGGGTTCTGTCATCCAGAGGGACCTGGACAGGCTGGAGAAGCGGGCACGTGTGAACCTCAAGAAGTTCAACAAGGTCCTGCACCCGGGTTGGGGCAATCCCCGGTATCAGCACAGGATGGGGGATGAAGGGATGGAGGGCAGCACTGCTGAGAAGGACTCGGTGGATGAAAAACTGGACATGAGCTGGCGATGTGCGCTGGCAGCCCAGAAAGCCACCGGCATCGCGGGCTGCATCCCCAGCGCGTGGCAGTAATCCCTAGGGACTCCTTTTTTAAAGTAATTAAAAGAATTGCATCGTTACTTGTTATTTATTGTGGGTGTGTAGAGAAGCTTAGCTTAGCTCAGGAGAAGGCAAAGCATGAAAGGAGGGACCCGGAGATGCCGCGAGGGCTGGAGCCCCTCTGCTGGGAGGACAGGCTGGGAGAGTTGGGGGGGTTCAGCCTGGAGAAGAGAAGGCCAAAGAGGGGAGACCTTACAGTGGCCTTCAAGTTCTTAAGGGGCGGGGGCTTATAAGAAAGATGGGGACAGACTTTTTAGCAGGGCCTGCAGCAACAAGACAAGGGGTGACGGTTTTAAGCTAAAAGAGGGAAGTTTTAGACTAGATATAAGGAAGAAATTTTTTTTACGATAAGGGCGGTGAAACCTTGGCTGAAACACTGGCCCAGGTTGCCCAGAGAGGTGGTGGACGCCCCATCTCGAAACACTCAAGGTCATGTTGGACGGTGCTCTGAGCAACCTGATCTAATTGAAAATGTCCCTGCTGATCGCAGGAGAGTTGGACTAGATGTCCCTCCCACCCCAAAACATTCGATATTTCTACGATACCTTTGGCAGAGCCGCCGGTGCCGGGCGCGCTGGCGGGCAGGACGGTGGCACCACGAAAGGCCCTCTCCAGGTGGTTGTGCTGCTTGGCCAACTGCTCCAGCGTCTCCTCCAGTCGGATGCGCTGATCCCGTTCGTGCTGCAACGATTTCTGCCACTTCTTGCTGTGGGTCTGGGCCAGCATCAGAAAATCCCGACAGGCCTACGGGGTGACAGCGCCCCATCAGCGCCCGGTCCGTCTGTGGGGGTCAACTCCCCCGTGCACCCCCCCGTGCCCTTCCCCACGGGGTGAGGTGCGGACTCACGTTGATCATGGCGTTGGAGGTGATGCGGAAGAGGGTGGCTCGCTCGTTCACCTGCTTGATCTTCTCGGTGCTCTCAGCCGGCAGCCGGAGGTTCTCCAGCTCGCTGAGGGAGCGCTGCAGGGCCGTGCCGTGCTTGGCGATCAGGTCGTTGCAGGTGCTCAGATCCTCCACTTTGCTGGAGAGGGTGCGCAACGTGGTCTGAAGTTCCGTCTTGTCGGTCTGTGACACCGACTCGTCGCCGGAGTCATCTGCCAGCGGGAAGGGACGTTAGCGTAGCCCCAGGCGGCCTCTCTCCTCCCAGAAGACGAGGAAGAAGGGGGAGCAGCGGGAGCAGCCACCCTCTGAGCC